AGAAATTATATTTGAATTGAGAGTGTCCATCACTTCAAAAAGCTTTGGTCACTATATGAAAAAAAACTTGTGATTCAGCTTTGTTATGCTTGGGTTGTTGTTCCCTGTGTTTACTTGTCTTTATAAAACAGTATGGTTAAACTTGATGATATTAAAATTCTTTACTTAACCAAAATGATTCTGTGATTCCTAAATTGTCCACCTACCTTCAGTGAAAACAAGCTTTTCCTCTAGACTTCCATTATTTCTATATTCATTGAGAAATATTACTAGTGATCAAATTAGGAGATGAATTCCAGCAGTTTGAACAAGTTGCCAGGGAATCCCAGTTTTTGGCAACATCATAGTATCCACAGCCTTGAGGAAATAATCAGCCTTCCCTTTGTAGCAGTTGGAATATGCAGTGGTGTGTTTGTTGAAAGCCTTTCAATTCTACTGGTTCTAGTCAGGAAAAAACAAAAACAATCTACTCTTCTTATTTCTACTTCTAAGTGCAGGGATATTTTGCTTTTAAACAATTTATTATTTTTTAAAAATAGGGGAGTTTAATATAAAATGTTTTTAAAATAATCCAGTTTTATTATTCTGGGAGACAATTTTGTTTACTGCACAGTTTTAAATTTTAGCTTATTTTTGTCATCACTACAAATCCAAAAAACATAATTATCAACAACAACAACAGAAGTCCAAGTTTTTCACAGGGTGGCAAAATCCCTTACCTGCATTGCTGGATTAAAATGTGTTCTGTTTTTCAAGTGTGTTGTAAAGATTGATTCATGTCCTTGCAAGTGCAATGAAAAATGTCTTTTAGCAGCCTAATGACAGGTGATGGATTCACTGAGCTTTGCTTATGACCTAGCTCTGTCGATTTTGGTATTTTGACATCTTTTCCTCAGGTTCAAATGGAGTCTTCAAATTTGGAAGAAGATGAGCTGCAGATAAAAAGAGCTATTTTGTAAAGACTTTTCCAGATTTTGTAAATTTTGAGGTGAAAGACAATGGGGTTTTCTTATTTTACCTAGTTTAAGTCTTAAGAAGGAAGTGACTGGGCAGCTATAAGAGCCCTTGCCCTATAAAGGAGTGGGGAACAAATCACCCACAACAGCCACTTGTAAAGAACAGAGAAGAAGCAGGAGGCACAGTGAAGTCTGGTCCAAAGATTAACACAAGGATACTGAGCTAAGGATTATATGTATGTCAGAAACCTCTCACCAATTAATTTGGATAGCATCTTTTGACTTTCAGATGCTTGGTGATTAAACAGACTTTGGTGGATTTCTCCCTATTCCCAGACTGTTCAGGTCAGAAATTGTTATAGTGCAAGTTAGCCCAAATTCATGGCTTATCTCAGCAAAATTGGCACAAGGGACTGGGAAACATTCCAGAGCTAATTTTCTTTAGGTTGAGAAAAGCTGATAATTGTTCTATATGCTCATCTGAATGCAGTTGTGGTTGTAGTTTTCTCCTTATTCTATGACACTATGTCAATCTTATTTTTTTCCTCATAATTTTACACTGCATTTTGGAGGGATAAAAGTATCTGCAAATAAGCCCCCAAAGCCCAATCATCAGTCATAGTAAGCATTTTGTAAATTCACACATAACCATGTTATTTTTAAATATATGCAGGCTCTTTAGAACTGAAACATAAGTTCAAAATAGAATTATTTCTCTCACAAGGGTTTGAGCATAGCTATGGAATCGCTCAGTTTAAAATGGGTAAGCATCTGATGAACAAGACTAAGAGGTGCTTTGAATGGTTGCATCATTATTTTCATCCTAATATAGTCCTTCTACGTGTTTGAAAAACCCAACAACAAGTAGATTCAATGAAGTCTAGCAATGCCAAGTTATGTTCACTAGTTAATAGGAAAACAACTATACTAGGAAAAACTGCAATTTTAGCAGCCAGGTCATCCATGTAACCTTTGAAGGTATTACACATTATTTAATCTACATTCCTTAGCAATGTTTCCTAGTACAGCTTCTTCCTCCCTCTGCAAGAAACTCAGTACTGGTCACTTTTCGGTATAGAAACTCTTTCAAAGGTTTTGGAAACTCAACTGGAAATTTTATTGTGAGCAGTTTTTTTTGCATATATGCCATCTCTCAAGTAAAATGCTAATATTTTTTCTGAGTGTACACATATTTCGTAATTATGTGCTGCTCTTTCTCAGTTATTTTATTTTGGTCTTGGTACTGTGAACTGTTGGCATTTCATGTATGTGAGGTGTTACTGAGGTTTATTTTATGTACAAAGGTCCATTCAGCTACTCATTTATCAAAAGTAAGCATTAGTGTTCATGTTGTGTGCCCGAAGCTAAGTTTGCTAGTGGAACTCACACATTTACATTTTTGCTGACGTTATTTATTCTGTCAAGTTAGAGCCAGCATGCAATTGACCTTTATAAGCTGAATCATAAACTTTTGTTCTGTTGTGGCTTACCACAAGATAGACCCCTCCAGGGCAGGAAGCATTCTCCTTCACACCCTTCCCTCGGGGGGACAGACACGCAGCCCTCCATGTCTGTCAACTCCAGATGGAGGCAGGGGAAGACCCAAGGACATTGTCAGGGGCATGCATCAGTAGGGAAAGGATGCTGTCTTCATCCTATATCAAAGAGAAGGTTAGTGTGCCATCAGTGTGCTCTGCCTTTCTCTCAGAGGTACTTCTGATTTTGATTCTTACTTGATACTTGTCTTCTAGGCAAGCCCCTTGGAGCAAGACCAGGGTAAGGAAATAGAAGAAGAGAGTAGAAAATGGCATTTATTGTTTCCTACTCACCTCCCTGCTGGGTGTTTACACACTTCTTAGCAGAAAGAGAAGTGTGCTCTGCAAGGTTGACTATCTTAAGGTCAGATTGCAAAAGACAGTTCAGCAACGCTTCTTAGCAGCCAGGCTTGAAGCACTCATTAAGAACCATAACAGCATCAGGCCAGGATGTTAGTGAATGTTCCAGTTCTGGAGTTTCATAATCGTCCATGGTGAAATGAAGTCTGACCCCAAGACCAGGAAAAGTCTTTTCTATCACTTCAATTTCACTGCTCCCTTCTTTAGAAGATGAAAAAGACCCTTTTTGTGAATAAAAGAGCAGCTCAAATTCTGCAGTCAAGCTTGTGCTTCTGCTGAAGTCACAGTAGGAGTGACTGCTGCAGTGATGAATTCCAGTATGAAGATTGTATGAACATCCCCCCATTCCTCAAATAACTGGATAACACTACCATGCATTTCACACAACCTTCTTTCAGACATCAGGTAGCAACTCCTTTTGGTCATTAGTGGCTTGGACTGACACTGAAATGTTAAGCAGTCTTGAAAATTACAAATTCATTGTCAGCTGGATCTGAGCAGCTACTTCACTGCTTCCCAGCTAAATTAGTATATGCAAGTGTCCTGACCTTTAGGTTTTTAGTAACATCACTTTGCTTGTAGGAAGGGCTCAAGGACCAAAAAATTGCCAGGTGTGGAAGGAGATAGATTCCGGGACCTCCTGAGGAAGCTCAGTCCACATAAACCCATTAGACCTAATGGTCTGCACCCAAGGGTGTTGTCATTCTGAGGTTGCTTACTATCGTCACTGAAAAGTCAAGGAGACTGGGGAGGTCTTCTGTGCAGAAAAGCAGATGATGCAGCCATCTTCAGAAAAAGGGCATGCAGGACAATCTAGGGAAATACTGAACAATCATGGAACAAGCCATCTTGGCAGAAGTTTCCAGGTGCATGAAGGAGAATGTGGTGATTTGGAATTTACAAGGATAAATCACACCAGACCAACTTAATTGTCTCTTGTGATGAGGTGACTTCACTGTCAAAGAGGGGAAAGCAGATAATGTTGTCTACCTTGAGTTTAGCAAGGCTTTCCATGTAGTCTCCCACAGAATCCTTGTATCCAGGTTCAAATGGATACTTAGGCAAAAACCTAACTGAATCATTGGTCAAAAGGTCTTATGCTCTATTTCTTTGGCATCTGGCTGGTCTGATACTTTTATGAATGACTTGGAGGAAGAGATGGGATGCAGTATAGTGGGGTCTGTGGACTGATTATACTTAATGGAGGGTGTACTTGATAAGCTAGAGATCAGGACTGCCATTCAGGGGCATTAATACTTGCCAGAGGACTAGGCCAACAGGAATATCATGGAATTCAGTCAGGACAAATAGAGCACTCTTTATCTCAGGTGGACTAACCGCCATGGTTTGGTTAGCTGCTTTGCTGAAAAGGACATGGGAGGCTTGGGACAGGCTGAACAGGAGTCAGTGGTAAACTCTGGCAGCAGTGAAAGGTGCTCAGACTGTATCAACAGGAGCACAGATGGCAGATCAAGGAGATTGATTATTCCATTTTACTCAGCACACATTAGACCACAGCTGGCATAGTGGGTCCAGTCTAGAGGCTCCCAGTACATGACAGCTGCTGGCAGACTTGAACGACTCCACTGAAGGGTCAGCAGGACGGCTGGAGGTTGAAGCATGAGAACTGTGAGGAGAGGGTGATGCATAGGGGTTTGTTCAGCCTATGGAATAGACCAGCAATTTTCCAGTTCCTAAGAGAAGATTACCAAGAAGATAGGGCTAGGCTTTCTGCCAAACTGTAAGAGACTTAAGGTTGTAACGAACAGGGGAGTTGCTGGTTAGATAGAAGGGAAGAAAAAAAATGACACAACAGGAATAATTAGGTAGTGGAATAGATTACCCAATGTTGTTCAGTCTCCACATGGGGATTTTTTAAGACCTGACTGGACAAAGACATAAGGGATCTCCAACCTTCCAAAGTCCCTTCCATTCTGAATTATTTTATGACAAACCTCAGAATGGATCTCCTCCACCTCCTTAACAGAATTTCCTCCATGTAATACAGTTCTCATCAATCTGTGTATTTCAAGTCAGTGTACATGCTCCTATTTACCCCACAGACCCGGAAAACTATATAAAAGATTGCCCCTCTAGTTTTAACTAAATAAGATCTAAGACAATTGGGGCAAGAACAACACTAGACAGGATGAGACAACATTTTTTTTATTGTTTTAATACGAGTGAATAGATTAAGAGATCTGAAATGTTGTAAAGCAATATACATACTGAATAAATAATATGCACAGGAGAGTCATGTCTACATTGTAACACTGGCTAATATTCAGAATACTTCAAATAAATCCAGTGACATTGGATAAAGTCCATAAAAATGCTATCCTGTCTTCCCTTGTATGAAATTGTTCAAGTATAAAAAAATCCAATACAGTGTAAAATATTAAATTCCATTTCGGTCAAGAATAAAAATTGCAAGTATTGTAGTTTCACAGGACAATGTAAAGCAGCATTTTCTAGCAAAGGGAAAAATAGTCAGTCTAGATACAGATGAGTGAGAAAACGGCACTAATGTATTTGAGAGGTCTACATGAATAACTAGTAGAGGGAAAAAGAATGAACTAGCAATATTTTATGTAAAAACCTAAAAAAGTGTTAAGAGTACCCTCATACAGTGCACATACTGAATTTAAATAAATCCAAGTCAACATCCTTAGTTAATTAGGTTAATATTTAATATGCTACATCTAAGCCTACTAAATAATTTATACCATGAGATGAATACATAATTTTACAGTGTCACATCTAAAGTCGCTTTCTTTAGAGCGCAGCATAGTAAAACTTTCAAAATAAATATTTCTTTTTAAATAGCATAACAATTAAGGCACAGTATAAATCACATACCATTAACCCTTCAGGAACTGCAGTCTTGGTAACAAAAAGTTGCCTTGTGTACTGTATGTTTGCTAATAAATACTTTAAATATAATCCTGAAATAGATATTAAAATTGTACAAATGGTTTCAGAAAAGAAAATTCCCTTAAAACAGTTCTTAAAAGGTTTTAATTCATTAGGCTTCTTCTTGCCTTTATTCACAAGTTATGAATAGATGCAATAAATAGAAAGAGAAGGCTGTTGTAGTAAAGGGCTGATCCTATTTTAGAATCAGAATAGCTGACACCAGCAGTTAAAGTTTCCCAAAAGTGAAACGGGATGGGGTGAGGGATTAGGATGTGACAAGCTCATCACATGAGCACGAGTGATGTGTTCTGTCCAGAACTGTCTGTGTTATTGATTGTCTCTACAGCTGTTGCACCCCTTACTTCCACATCACTTGCTCCATAGTTCCACTCATCCAGAGGACAGAGAAGAAAATAACTTTGGTGCCTGTCCGCCATCTTACTAGCCGGCCATCTTCCTTGGGTTGTTCAGTGCCCGTTAGTGAGACAGTGACAAGGTCCTGTCTCACAAAGACAACTTCTGAAAGCTAGAAAGGACAATCAGTGCTTTAAGCTCATTTCCTCTTAAATGGATAAAGGTTACATATTGCTGACTCAAGTTTTTTCCCTGGTTCAAACTTTTCAGATACCATTTTCTTACTTATAAAGGCAGTTTTGCTTCCCTGATACTGTAGAAAGTACATATTTGCTTTTTTTGGTTCTTTTTTGTTTGTTTGAAAATATGAAGTCCCATTGCTACTCCTGCCACTCTTTCATGACAGTACAGTACTTTTCCCCCCGTTTTCTTCTGGCTAGACATGCCGCGCTACCCTTCCCCGCTAACAACAAGATTTGGATGCATACTGTGTGAAGACAGTGGAATAAAAATCTTTAGTTTCGCAACAGCGTCGCTTTCCTTGAAGCTCCTTAGTCACTACGAATTGTCTCTGTTAACTACTTATGCTGGAAGGCCGAGAAGAGGCAGAGAGCGCGCGAGCTTCCTCCAGGAGTCCATCCGCTATTGCATGCGGTCTGTCTGCAGCTGTTGGGGCTGGTACTGGCCGAAAGCCGCCGCGGCGGCCGCGGCCGTGCCAGGCGCTGCTGCGGTGAGGGGCTGCTGCACGGCGTAGCCGTAACCCCCGGCTGCCACGGCGTAGCCAGCAGCGGCGGCCGGCGAGGCGGCGTACGGGTACTGCTCATAGGCCGCCGCCGCCGCCGAGTACTGCGCGTAGGCCGCTCCGGTGTAGTCGATGTAGGGCGTAGTGGAAGCAGCGGCCGCTGCGGGCTGCACGTGGGGAATTACCACTCCGGGCTGCACAAAAGCCTGTGGATAGACATAGTGAGCGGGTATCCTGTTGAAAGATGAGAGAGGGAGTTAGAGTCGGCAGGCGAGTCAGCGCCCAAGTGTCATATCCATACTCCGAACTAAAACAAACTCAATTTAGTTGTTGTTATGTGCATAGGGTTGCCACAATAACTTGACTCAATGGACCAATTATCAGTTCAGTGGCCCGAAGCGATGCATCGCTCCAAAGCACAGTGTTATAGCCGAGTTAAGTCAGGGTGTTCAGTGTTCCTTGAGGATAATTTCTTTAATGCCACTCAAATCTTTAGAAGGACCAGCATTACTGATGTCTGTTTGAAGACAACTCTGAAGGACTAAGCTTGATTATTGCATCTGGAAATTGCAGTACTTGTTTGTTTCAAATCACCTGTAAGTCATTTTTATCATCCCTCTTCTCTCTTAACTATTTGACTCTCAGTAAAATTACTTCCTGCAATACTTTCATTATTAGTAACTAAGCAGTTTGACAGCATCACTATGAGTTTGACAACAGCCAATAAGGCAACAAAATGGTTGAACTCTGACTTTATGTCAAGTCTTCCCAGGGAGGTGTGTTCAGAGTGTATTGTGGCAACCCTACTTAAGTTGCTATGCAGACTCAGCACACATTAATTTCTCTGCAACCTCAGTCACCCTTATTAAAAATAAGAAAAAACCAACACAGGCGACAAAGGAGTTTAAATAGAGTTCACAAGTGTGGTAAACACAGCAAGAATCACACTTTCCAAACGAACGATAGTGCAGCTCACTCCGTCACAAGAGGCCATTGAGGGGAAGCTACATAGATGCTATTAAAATCCATAACAGTGACTCCTAAGTACATGTGCATCACACTTTTATAAAAGTTTGTAAGGACACAAGAGTCAAACCTGTTTGATTATCAGGTCACTGATGTCCTGTTTTGTGGCAGCTTGTTTATTTCTATGCAAGACATACAGCATAGAGTTTTTTGGGAGGTGGGCATAAGATTGAGTCTAAATAAATCTGGTGCTTAATAAAAGCAAAAAAACCACAAATTTACAGTTTAAGAAAGAACCATTCTGAATAGATGAATAAACACTTTACCATCTTGTCCAAGTCCCATAATTTCCTTTCTTGGCTTGTTTATTTAGCCCTTTAGTTTTAAAAACTGGTCATATCCTTGTCTATGTCCATCTCTAAGCACACAAGTATACATACATGTTAATCTCATGGCTGGATTTTATCATATAATATGATTTTAAAAAAATACTCTGTATAATTCTCACTTTACATTCATAACCCTGTCTGGCATCTGGATTTCCAAAGAGAAGTCCTTCATATATGCAACTCCTTCCCAGCCAGTGAATCTCTATAAATGCATGAAAAACTTCTGGTAGAGATTCATTGCTATTTCATACTGAAATTTCTTTACCTTTACAGAAACTTCTAAAGACTGCAGCAACCTCTGAACACACTTCAAGCACAGATGAAAACTGTAGTAGTAAAAAGTGTCCTCCATTCTCCAAATTCAAGATTTCATGGAAAGTGTTTGTTGGGGGATTTTGAGTTTCATTTTTAAAACAGCTTTAAGATGTAATTAAGTGGTCAACAAAGAAACATTTGCAATCAGAGGGGACACTATCAACTGGAATCATAGCAAAACATAGTTTAAAATAAGTGATAGACTTTAAAACGGCTCAGTTTTCTTTTTCAGAAAAAAAGTGCTCAGTTGCTTGAATAGGAATATTAGCAGAGAGAAATGTTCAGTTGCCATGTTTAAGACATGAACACCACAATCGTAAAAACCCAACATGTAAATGAAATTAATTTCCTATTGTTCAGAGGGGAAAAAAAAAAAGAGTGACAAATAGGGAGGGATTGGCGAGAGAAAGAAAACATAAAACGAAACCATAAGTTGGGTTTTTAACACTCACCTAATTTATGAAGTGATTAGCCAGAAGTGCATTTGAAGCATACTTAAGCTGGCTCTGTGCATTTAAATACACGTCATTACCTGAGCTCTCCATATGGATGAGCATAAGCAAGCATTTTGTATTGGTCACCAACCAAGTACAATTCTAGTAAACGTAACACCGTATCTCTTAAGCATTTAGGCAAAGTATAAAAACAAATTTGAAGTTACAGAGAGCCTCTTTTACATCATGAAGAACCCATTTAACACCACATCAAAGGAATCTTTACATTCAGCACTTATGGAAGAGAGCAATTCTAACAGAAGAGACAGTAAGCAAGCGCATCAGGCTGCTTGTGTTGCCTTGCACTGATGTTTCTAAGATTTTCTGAAGATACTTGGACACTCGGCCATATCCTTGAACAAGACAGAAAGATACATGTGCTTCCACTTAAGCTCTTGTGACTTGGTTTATTTAAGCCAAGAAACTAACAGGTGGTGAAGTTATGAAACGTTATCTGTTTGCCACATCTTACCCTACAATAAACATAAACCCTGTGCAGGCTCTTCTCCGCCATGCCATTTAACACATGATGATTGACAGCATAAGCTGCAGTGGGGCTATTTTTGATCATCTGTCATGCTACAACTGTTTTCAGTCAAGTAAAATGGCTTTATATGGCCAAAGTAAATTTCTACCTACTGCAGAGGCCAGGGCATGAAGAGCTCAGCCATTCAGAACCCAACTGCTTTTCATGCTCTGCCAGGTCAAAAGCTGAAAAAGCAATTCCCAGTTACACTAGAAATCCTTAGTATCCTTAATTTTAAATAAAAGCTGCTGGTTTACTTGTCAGAGTGATAGTGTGAGAAATTGACAGGATTTAAGCTCTCTCTCCTGGCAGTAGTTTTTATTTCGGAATGTGTATTTACTCTTTTATGCCTTTGCAATAAAGGAAAATAGAAGCCGTATTTAACTTTAGCAATAACTGGAGCTTTGAGATACTCAAAATTCAATGACCTACATCCCTGCCACGTGCCTTAAGACTTTGTTGTTGTAACGGAAGATTTATGTCTAACTGAAGACCTCAAAAATAATCCTATAGGCAATAATAAAATGAACGACAATTTCAAAAGAAAGAAGACTTTGGAGACAAATGCAGAGAGCTGTGGCATATAGAAATTCAGCAGGAGTAGTGCATTTTTAACTCTCAGCATTACATTCTTACAAAGCTAGGTATTTAACTTTAAACAAAATGTTTTGCTTTGGCCTTTTCATGGCATTGTTAGCTTTTGTAAGCATAATTAAAGAGTAGATTTCCACCAATGAACAGCTCTCCTTTTAACAGAAATAGGTTACATAAACATTAAACATACAAGACCCTTACTACATTTCCTTTTATCTGATAGCCACTAAGAGGACATAACAGCAGGCTAACTTCTGACTGTTCCAGCTTCATTCCCTCTTTTCAGACTATCTGTAGTCTAGTATTATACAGGTCTTTTGATCACAAACTCAAGAGGGGGCTTTTCCTTCTCTCTTAAGAAAGGCAGATTTGCCTAACTCTTGGAAGATATCAAGCATGCCGTATCAGCTAACCATTTGATAATGGGCTTAATAACTTTGGATTTAACTCTGGTATTACTGAAAGCAGTGGGTAAGTTTTAATTTTGATATAAGTACAGGTGTTAGAAAGAAAATAAAAAAAACTCCACACCAGTTACATCCTTTAGCAATACCTCTGAATAACCCTGAATTTTCCCACCAATATTAAAGTAAAAATTACATTAGCAAAACAAGAAAAGCTATCTTGGGAGGCAAAGTCATCTTCCCCCTCCATAAATTCCTGTTGAATTCAGAGATAGTATTTTAATAAACAATCCTGAAAACAAAGCTGTATAAATAACCAGTCCTGTGATCCAACAGCTTTCTATGAAACACACCAACAGTTAGATAGATGCTGAATGTAAAAAGCAGGAAGAAATGTTATTCTGCAGCACTGAATAAAAAAATTCCCTGCATTTTAAATGCATCATGCATTGAAGCTAATCTAGTTTCTGTCTCCCTCTACCACAACAGTATTGTACTTCAGTCAGAATATTGAACTTCTGCATCTTCTCAGTAAATGTAATGTAATCAAATTATTTTAAGTTTATTGTTTGACAGATGTGAAACCTTATGTTGTGGATGCCCCATCTCTGAAAGTGTTCAATTCCAGGCTGAAAGGAGCTCTGAATGACATAGTCTAGGGACAGGTGTCCTTGTCCATGGCAAGGGTTGAAACAACATGATCTTTAAGGTCCCTTCCAACCCAGGCCATTCTATGACGCTGTGATTCTAAAACACAGCTGACTGTACCAAAATATGGCAGCACCTCACTAATTTGCACTGTTAGGAAAAAAAACAAAACTCAACCACAAAACATTTGAAGCTTTTGTGTATGGATTAGCTGAGTATTGGCAGTGAATCACCACTACAGCTGGTTTCACAGAGTGTATTAGGGAAGTGTGCTTCCAAAGTACAATTGCACAGGAAGAACAAAGGTTTTAGGATGACCATGTACTTCAATGCAAACCACACAGCAGAAGTGAACTCTTCAACAGAAGGAGATTCAAATAAGCACTGAAACATCCTTTCTTACTGTCAATTAAGTGAATGAAGATGTTCATTCATCCTAATGATTGCTGTTCTCCTTAATCTGAACCACATACTTTAGATAAAGGTATAGATCACCGGAAATTTTGAGGAGGAAGAAGGGTTGGTAATCTCTGTTGTGTACACATTGTGAAAGAAATGCAACAGTCAAGAATGAAAAATTACCAATTTTATATAAACATGACTCCGTGACCAACATTCTTTCAGATTTATGTGCAATGCATTAGAAATCCAACCTCATTCAGCTTGCTGGAAGGATCTCCCTGACTTAAACATGGTTTATGTCATCTCTTGTTGGCTTTGGGTAAGGAAAGCAAGAAAGACTCCTACATTTGCAGAGTCCTTTAAGCAAGGGACTGCCACAGATCCTCCTTTTCTGTTGTGCTCAGCAAAGACTCTGTGATCCCTGCACAATTCAGTAGTTCCCTTTTCAACAAATGTTTTAATAGCTCTGGAGAGGAGGTGTTCTGCCTCCTGCCTGCCTTAGTGCAGGCATCATAAACTGATCAGTGCATATACATTGTCATCTCACACTTCAAAGAAGCAAGCAAAATACAGTAGAGGATGATCATAACAAGGTAGAAAAAAAAAACAGAAAAAAATGTTTTTACAGCCTCCCCACTCTCAGAAGAATCAACACACTTTTAAAATTACATGAAGTTTCCAGGAAAAACCTTTTCCTGTTGTTTTCAGGATAAGAACTGTTTCCTTCCATTCTGACAAATTAAATTACTGAGAAGCTGTTGTCATTTCATAACAGGTAAGTATGATATTCTAAAGCCATTCTAACCAAATAAACTACATTTGCGACACATTTTCCCTACTATATTGTTAGCTTATGAATTTATTAGCAAAATGCACTATTTTGCAATGAGTTTCTCAGTCACTGTGCATTAGTGAAGTGACACTATGGAAAGCTTAAAGCAGACTTCACCTCCTAATGATATGCCTATAAGAAGCAAGAGTTAGATCCACTTAGGAACAGTTTATACTCAAATTCAGGAGAAATGCACTACATATTAATGACAGATTGAAGAAAAAATCCCCTCAAATTAGAAAGCCCAAATGGACGCACATCGTTAATAAGGAGCTCCACACCCTTCCCAAGAACAAACCTCCCAAAAATTATGAACATGCAAGCAATATGTTGATTTACTTAAAAATCAAGAAATCACACAAGATAGCACTCACTACAAAATATGGTTAAAAAAGTCACAGGCTACAGCTTGAAAGCAAGGAAAAAAAAGGCCCTTTGCTCCCCATGGCAAAGTCACTCCTCAACAACAAAACCAAAATTAAAAAAGATCCCCCCCAAAAAACTTTCACTACAGCTCTTTCAATTAAATAAAAGCACACAGTTTAGCTATCAACACCACTTCATTACTGTAATAAAAAAAAAAGCACACGGAGGTCTATTGACTATATGAAAAAAACATACATGCATCGTTAATCACCATTTTAGCTTGTTTGTGTTTGAGTCTACTGGTTACAGAGTTTAATTCCAAACAGAACTATTCCACCTCTTATCATCATATCCTTCTGATCAGTTATCTTAACTGTAAACGATCCCTGTCAGATTAGAAAGAGATAAATAACATTGAGTCAAGCTGAAAAAAGAGAAATGGGGCACAGCAATCTTGCATCAAATTATTCCTCCTTGTTTTATCATAGGGTCATGTGGGACTGGACTGCTTAGGCGGAAGGGCCACGTCCCACACAACTTGACTCAGCTGCGGCATTTAGAACATGACCGACAAGGTGAGCGCATTTATGAGTATACATTTATAAATCTGAGAGCTTCAGCATTGCTGGCCAGCTTTAAGGATGCTACTGTAAGAGGCCTTCAACGATCATACTTTTCTTTCCTTTTTTTTTTTTTGAAAAAAAAAGATTTATTTCCTCCCCTCTTTGAGATCCCATTGAGACTTACCCGAAAGGCCTCTGTATGAGAGCTGGATGAAGCTGCTGGACACCAAAGGCAAAACCTACCAACAAAAACACATCATATTCTCTGTATGGGTGTTTTTTCGGCCACTTCTTTATGTTATATATATATACACACACACAAAAAGAATGCGGAGTAAGAGCCTTTACTAACAGCCTGCAGTAACAATAGCTGAAACACTGTAGAACCAAAAATTAGAAAGCAAAATACATACACACACACACACAGAACTTAAACCAGTAAAGCACACGCTTTCCTAGAGATGTTTAGGAAAACAACGTTTTCTAAACAAGTACAGGGTTTTCATTCACATTTTACCTGGTGCTCCATTTGGATCCCTAACTTTAGCATCTGAATGACTGGATGGTACTTTCCATTCATCAGTCTATTTGTGCAATTTCTACAGACTTAAAATTTAAGTCACCCCTACTCATCAGGACTTAGCATAGGGGGTCAAATCCCAACTTCATTTCGGCTCTCCAGACACCCTAGCAGAAACCCTGTCTTCTACTGGCAGGCAATTAATTACTCGCACAAGTGTTCATCAGGCTAAACATGAGGGAATTCAGAACGACCTCCTTTAGAGCATAAATGTGCACACACTCCATGCTCCTCTTACTTTTGCTTCAAGTGTCCCAGCAGTCTGGGAAGTGGCTAGGAAATCAGATTGTCTCAGAAGTGGTCTTAGGAAAAGCCATTTCATTTTAAAATCTGTATAATTGCTCCCATATGCTTGAGAAGTTTGTATTAAGATATTTAATGTTTGTGTTAATAAGACCGCACACATTGGAAGCGAGTCACTCCTAGGCCAATCTTACCCTGCAACGATACTGTAAATGGTCAGCGCCACCACATTCCCAGCAGCAGGAATAACCAATGAAGTGTTTGAGCTGTGGAAGTCTTCCTGGGGAACTCCAGATATTTTATCTCTGATTGCTTTTGTTTTTTAAATAAGGCACATGTGCAAAATAGCCAGAAAATTACTACATGCTGCATTTAAAAAATCAAAACCAAAGCACGCCCAACTGTGTGCGTACTTCAGGAAGGTGGAGGGCAGCACTACCTTTTTTTGAAGTTTTACTCTCTTCAGAAACCTGAGGTATGGAGAGAAAAACCATTCGAAGTTGCCTCCTCACCTGGCTGCATTATCCGCGGCTTGGCACCCAGGTACGCCAGGTTCACGTTGGCTTTCCTGCCATCGATGATGGGGTTGGGGTCCTTACAAGCCCTTTCAGCAGCAGCTCTGTCAGCCATGGTGACCTTAACGGGCGATGCCGCGCATTAGATCCCTTTCCGCGGGGAAGGAGAAGCCTCCCGCCCATAGCAGCGACCCGGCCCTACCCGCGGGCGGCGCCGAGGGGCCGCCGGCCGGACCCCGGCCCGGGGCCCGCCCGCCGAGCGGAGCGCAGCGCAGCGCCGGGAGCCGCGCCGGGCGCAGGGCGGAGGGCGCGGGCCGAGCTCGGCCGCCGGCAGATAAACCCCGCAGCGGCCGTATCAGCGAGCAACAGGCGCGCCGGCGGTGTGCGAGGAATTAGGCAAGTCCCCCCCTCAATCTCCTTGTTCAGTAATCCCCCCCACCCCGCCTCTATCCAAACTCCCCAGCAGGGAGAGAGAAAAATAAAAAGGAAAAAAAAAATTTAAAAAAAAAAGAAGAGAGAAAAGCAAAAAGCCGGACGCTCGGCAGCCCCTCCCGGCCCACGAGCTCTCACAGCGGCCCCCGCGGAAGTTTCCCCGCGATGCCCTCCCGCAGCCGCCCACCGCCCTGCCCCGCGCCCCGGCACTTACAAAGCCGTATCCCCGGGACTTGCCCGTCTGCCGGTCGGTGATGACCACCGCCTCCTCGATGTCCCCGAAGACCTCGAAGTACTTGCGCAGGCTGGAGTCGGTGGTGTGGTAGGGCAAGCCCCCGACGAAGATCTTGGTGTAAGTGGTGTCCTTCTGCGTCGTGTGCATCTTCAGCCCGGCCCTGCGCGCCGCGATCTGCACCCACGCGTGGCCACCGGGGTGTGCGGGTCCTGGGCGGCGAGACCCACTTCCAGACTCAGCCCCGCTCTTTTTTTCCTTTTTGTTTTTTTTTCTCTCTCCTCTCTTCCCCCGCCCCCCGTTTTCCCCCCGCCACCCAGCTACAATGCAATTCCCTTCTGCCTTTGCAGACCCAGCTTCTTCCTCCTTCAAGAGCGGAGCCTCGCAGCCTCGGGCGGTTTTGAGGTAGGTACCGGCAAAAAGAGGAGGGGAGGCCGGGCAGCAGCCAGCCTGGCGGCTGTAGTGCTGGAAACGAGCAGAAACAGCAGCTGGAAGAGGAGCGCAGGGCCTGGGCTCTAACGACTGAGTGGCCTCCCCCCTAAAAGCCACCGGGTCGGTCACTCTCGGTTCCTCCTCCTCCTCCTCGCAGGGGGCGGGGACGGCGGCGGGGCGGACCCCGCGCTCGGCCGCGGCGCGGCCGGGGCTGACACACAGCTGTTGGCAACAGCTGGGTGCCCCCCGTGCGGCGGCAGCCGGGCCTCGGCGCCGCCGGGCGAAGGGGCGGCCTCTGAGGTGCCCCTCGGGGGACGCCCGGTGCCCTTCGAGGCAGGTTTGCTGCAAACAGCAAGTGCCGGGTGATGGGGTCCGGTGGGGTCAGCGGTGCCCGGCCGTCCAGAGAGCCCGCGGGCACAGCCGGTTCACTGGCTGCTGGCGGTCCTCAAATGCTTCGATCCCTCCCCGAAGGCTTGTCGTCAAACCTCTTCACTTACTGCTCTCTCCAGGCTAGCAAAACTATGGTGCTGCAACACATCCATTTTTATTGTGGTGGTGCTGGTGGTTGTGGTTCTTGATGTTCTTTGGTCACAAGATGAAAAAAAAAAATGGTAAAGCTGTTTCCCTTGTTCTTCCTCTTCTCTTGCTGCCTCTGCCCAATGTTGGGACTGGGAAGGATGAACAGAAACATAAATAAAGGAATGTCTGTGTGACATGAAGAGACATAGGACTGTGGGAGTTGGGGGGAAGGGAGACTCACAGAGAGACCGGAAGGATGGGAAGAAGGTTAAAACCGGGGAAAACAGATGTGCATATGTGTACAGACTTCTAAACCATTCTCTTGCAGTCCCAAAGTCTTGATAAGTACTGTGTGTCTCTTTTTCCTCTTTCACCACCTTCTAGGTGGTGAAGAAAGCCTAGTCTGCTAGGCTTTTCCTTATGAAGACACTCTCACTTAGAAAAAAGAGCAGTGCATCACTTGCAGGATGGACTTTCACAAAGTTCTTCTGCCCTTCTGGTACCAAACATTGACCATAATGAGAGTACTTAGCCCTAAACTCAGGCCCTGTTTGCCCATGTCTAACCTTAGTTCCATTTGATTTTTGCATCAGTAGTTTTCCTAGTTCTAATGGCCTATACCTATACCAGTCCTAAGCCATGCTGTCACTAAACTTTACTTGACGCCTCAGACTCTCCAGATTAAATTTGGTTTAACATGTTAAGACTAACTCAAGTGAAATCTAGCAGAACCACAGGATGAGACATAAATGTTACTTTTCAAGTAAAATTATGACAAGCCCTTAACATTCACCTGAATTCGATTAGGTCAGCTAGCTCTGTCTCCAAAAGTCTTCCAGCTTGACTCTCCTGTTGGTCTGGAATATTATGTTAAACCTGACACTCCGAGGGCTAATTGTAACTTTAAACTCTAGCCCAGTGACCTGAACTTAAATAGTAGCTCAGCTAAGGGTGTCAGTGCTCAATGGAGCCCTGCAGCACACAGCCCACTTAGTAGTGTATTTAACATCTCAGACCCCTGTGGACCTGGAAGATGAACTTCTAAAAGTTCATCTGAATCCAAATGTAGTCCACCCCATCGTGTTTCCTTTCTCTTGCTGTGCCCAGCACTCCTGAGTGTTTTGCGGTGTCTGCAGAAAGGGTGAGCTAACCTGGCTTTCCAGTCATTACACAAACTCCTTTATTAAGGCCAGAAAAGCAACATTTGTCTGTCCCAGAAATACTTGCAGATGTATTTAGAAGTACACTTTTTTCAGCCCAAGTGGAAGACTGGTGACATTGACAGACCCAAACTCAAAACCTGGCTTTTTGGTCTAGCAACAGCAGGTCTTCCAGGTAGCAGCAACAGCAGGTCTTCCAGGATTTAGAAAAAAATCCTGTTGTGTTTTTTTTTTGTTTTTTTTTTTCTGGAAAAAACCCTAACTTTTCACACCTATGTCTCAACAAAAGACAAACTTCTTGTATTTAGGTAGGGTTCATCATGCAGCCTGTGTTTGTGCTGCAATACTGTTTTCAACCTTCTCTGAAAGGCTAACACATCCTCTTCTGTAAAACCAGAAGTGAAGCTGGCCATTAACAGATCAAAATATATCCTGTAAGCCATGCTACTACAGTCCTACTACTGTATTAGCATCCTCAATTTAAGATGACCACCCTAGTAAAATTTAGGAATAAATACAGTTCTTTAGTCCATTCATTCCTATAACTGAACTGTACCACTAACACCATCACAGGAGAACAATCCCTTCTATTGAAGGATAATTTCTCAAAACTTAGTTTTACCTTACATCCCTTCTAGCATCAGACCTTTTTCTGTTTTGGTGGTCCTGATAGAATCTAGGATATGATTCTCCAGCTTTAGAATTCCTAGGAATTCTTACCTAAATCCCAGAGAAGTGATACCTCATCATTTGCAACTTCCTCTAGCCCATTCACTGTCAACACAAGCCTTTATTTTTGCGTGGCATAACCTGTGAAAAACAAACACAGGCTTCCAGCTCCTGGATGCATGATCTTATGACCTAACTGTGGCTGATACAATTCTACTAGCACCAGGCTATCTACTCCCTCAGCAGGTCTCAGAAAGAAAAATATTTTCCATACATATCTCAGTCTTAATCATCACTTTAGGGTTACCCAAAGAGAAGGGTGACCTCTGTCATATGGAAATTAACTGAAGACCATTTGAACACTTTAATGATCAGGAATATATTGTATGCTTCTCTCCTATACCATATATTAACTCCAGATTTTGGGCTAGTCTTAATCCAAAGGAGGTTACCATGTACAGCCTAGGGAGGGAGTTCTTTCTGATTTACTTGTTGTGAAAACATTCTGGACTGATTGGGGCTTGTGTCTTTGTGCTAGGGCTAGGTTTCTGCAAAGTTTGAAGAGTGAGGCTTACCTGCAGAACCTATAGGTACCACAGAAAACTGATGAATCTGGATGAATTCAGATGAGGATTATCCTGGAGTTAGCTTGAGTTGATAGGATAGTGTTTATGTGGCCATGCTGGATGTCTGGCTAAATTTGCAGTCAGACTAATGGATTTTAAGATTTAAAGGAATGGACTGTATAGCATTTATTGTGCTGAAGGGAAGTCTGTGGACAACTTCACCAGTGTAATTTTCCCAATTGCTTGAGATAATATGTATGTTGGTGTATTTTGGCGTATTTTGGTGTTTTGAGATGAATCAGCTGATACTTATTGCTAGGGATCTGGTTGTGGCTTCAGAATGCAAGTGTCGCAGAAAGAAATGTATTCCTATATGCTGCAAATTTTGAAGGAATTATGCCACTGGTGAAGTGTGGCAATTTGGGCAAGAAGTGAGAACATGTGGAAGAGGACTGTCTAGGCAGAGCATTTCTGGGAAAGATGTGAAACTGAGGTTCCTAAACTCATGGAAATTTGGAAATTTAACCAGGGTTACCCATGTTTTGGTAAGTACCACAAACAGTAGATCACTGTAAAAGGGCAGGATTGTTCCTGTAGGCAGCTATTTTGGCCTTTTCAGGATCTCTGTTTTAAATCAAAGCAGAACATAGGCACCCAGGTCCTGCTGCAGTCTTTTATATCGCTGCGAATCTCTCCTAGGTATGGAGGTATTGATGCTGAAGGGTATTGTAGCTGCCAATTACCTTCTATGTAATTTTAATGGTTTAAATATATATATCTGAAGCTATAAATGAGAAAGTGATCTAGGGTTTTATTTGGAACCTAGTAACATGGCTTAATGGGAGGGAACCCCAAAAGCTATCAGGCACAATTAATTGGTCTTAATCAGAGATTTTGTGATTTTGCTGTTGAGGTAGGATAGAATAGACAGCTTTCCAGTTTACCAAATGTTGCCACTCAGTGGTATCAGCGTAACTGTAATGTCATGCCTTTTATTTATTTATGAACACCATATGCCTGTCATGTCGGAAACCAATGGATGTTGTGTGTTCATTCATTAGGTTTCTGGAAGCAACAAAGACCCGTGATTATATTGCACACCAGTCATTCTTGCTAGTGCTTTATTTCAGTAGATAATGTGGTCTTCAGAACACTCACTGCACCATCAATTAAATGCAGCTGGAATTTCTCTATACATATACATCATATACATATACATATACATATACATATACATATACATATACATATACATATACATATACTTAGAATGCCTGGGGCCTAAACCACCATGATTTATTATGCAGGGCTGAAAATGAAAGCAATAATTTCTCTGTTAACCTAGTAAGACCATCAGTTTGGTCAGTGAGACATTTCTGCTGAAGTTCCATAATGCCATAGCTCCATGAAAGCATTTGGCTAATAACATTAGGCACAGTCTGCTAATCTATGCACTTCCACCAACCACGTCCCATTACAGAGAAGAGCAGAATGTCTAACCTCTGCTCTGCTCAGTGTGTGCTACACAGGTGATAGTTTGTCTAGGGAAGCATAAAATAGGTAGTACACTCATGTTCCAACAGATCACAGTGCGAGAAACTTGGAAGCCTCATCATCATCTCACTCTTCTAGCTGATCTGCAATCTTTGTCTAGGATAAGTTCTTGAATTGTGAATTTCTGCTAAAAGTTTCCTAACTGAGGAAGCTTCCACCACCTCTCTCCTGATAGTGTCCCCATTATAACAGATTTCCTCATAGGATTCTTTTTTCCCCTGAACTATATTGCCGTATTCCAAAGTCCCTTTTATTACAGTATCTGAGCTCTAAGCCACATGAACTTCAACGATGGAAATGTCCTTATTCCCAATTAAATCACCAAATGTCAACCACCAGGTGTAGTTTCTGATGGGAATATTTTTCCCTTTAAAGGGCAGTGGAAGAGGTGACACAGAATTTCAGTGATCCAGCAAACAAAATTCGAAGCTTGTGGAACTGTAGATTAAAGACATGTGCCTATCTGTAGGAAAATAATAGACATGTTAGGGGAAGCAGGGGTGAATGATGAGTGGAGCCAGAGGTTGAATGCATCCATAAAAGTTTCAATGCATGTCATGTTGGTAGGGGAACGTGAGGAAAAAGTATGTTAGGAAAAAAAAAAAAAACAAGGAAAAAGCTTTATGAATACCAAGTCATGGGTGCTATACTGAACAGTGCTGGTCAGTGCTAGGATAGGTCAGAAAGTAGAATGAGGCTGGTGCCTGATGTGAACTGAAGTTGTCCTATGATGCTGTAATGGAGG